TGTTGGAGGAAGGCAGTGTTCTCTGTCATATTTCCAGGCTCCGGACTGGGGAACAAGTTGCTGTCCAGGGTCTCTCACCCCACCCCCAGTTTATAAAATAGGGCTGAGGTGTAATGCTTCTGTCTGCTATAGATCTGGCAGGTGGAACGAGATCTAGCCAAAAGTTAAGCAGCACAGGCAGACACTGCCATGAAGGTTGGGGAAGCTGAAATTTCTGGCAAATCAAGTTTCTGGACCTCCTGGTGTGTGTGTGTGTGTGTGTGTGTGTGTGTGTGTGTGTGTGTGTGTGAAGGGATAAGGGGTAGGGTTGACAAAAGACAAGAAAACAAGCAATTTACAATACAGTATTGACAAGATAAGGTAAACTCCAGGGCGGGGCAGTAGGTGCTAGGACAATTTGTGCAGTAAGTCTTTCCAGAGCAAATGGCATTTGGGCTGAGTCCAAAGAAGCCAATTCAAGAGCCCGGTAAGAACTCCCACTCAGATCATCAAAAATGAAATACAAACATCCAATAAACACAGAGGAGAAAAATGCTATTTTTCACATTTGGAACTAGCAAAAACCCAAAATGTTAGTGGCACCAGAACAGACAAGTGCATGAGAGCTCAAAATGCATGTTTGGGGAAGGGCAAGGAGGGGAGGGATGGGGAGAGGACTGGGGCAGGCTTCTTAGAAAATAATTTGGAAACATGCACCACTTAATCAAGTCATTCTAGTGCTAGAAATTTTCTAGGGTATGCCCTCAAGTGTTCTCCAAGATGGGTGGATGGATGGATGGATGGATGGATAAATAGAGATAGACATGTACAAGGGAGTTCACTGCAAAATTTTGAAACGTATCTGCTCAATCACTGATAAAATTTAATTTACGCTTTGTCCATACAGGAAAAAAAGTGCTAGAGCTCACACAGAGAAAAAAATGGAGTCCTCTCCTAAGCCCTTCCCTGCTCCTTACATCTTTAAACGTTTGAGTTCGTCTTCCCTACTGAGACTGCAGATTTCTGTATGCAGGAATCTAGCCTTTTAAACCCCACACAGAGACCAGTGGCAAATTTGCTAAGACCAGTTGTTATTTGTTAAGTTCTTCAGTAAAAACAGAACGCCATTAACTTGTTAATGAAGGGGCCAGGCCTTCCTGGCGGTTGGCAGACTTGGCCAGTGTTACTTTGGGGATGCTGAGCGCGATGGGATTAGCGAGCCTCACTCCCGCCCTGTCCACAGAAAGATCGCACGCGTGCGCAGACTCCCCAGTGGCTCCACTCTCTTCCAGAGGACGCTGATAGAAGTCTCCTGGAGCCTTACAATAAAAGTAGACTTCTCCTTTGACGTCCTGTCATCACGCTAATGAAATGACTGTTCTTTTCATTGACTACTCAGTTGGAATTTAATTTCATGTGTTCAACCACTGAGACAAGGTTAAGTTAGCTTTTTAAAGCCAAAAGCTAGCCCATTCTCAAACTGGTTTTCAACCTTGAACGTTAGACAGACATTGGAAGTCTATTGATTATTATTTTTTTTTTTTTTGCTTCTACTATTCTTGGATGGTTAGATAGTTTAAGAAAACACTTGAACTTTTTTTTGTTTTTTGTTTTGTTTTGTTTTTTTGCTGTACTGGGGCTTGAACTCAGGGCCTACACCTCGAGCCACTTTGCCAGTCCTTTTTTGTGATGGTTCTTTTTTTTTTTTTTTTTTTTTGAGATAAGTTCTCGCAAACAATTTGCCCGGGTTGGCTTCAAACGGAGATCCTCCTGATCTCTGCCTCCTGAGTAGCTAGGATTACAGGCGTGAGCCACCAGCACCTGGCTGAAAATAAATTATTATTATTTATGTTCACTAATTCCAACACGAGGGTTTAAACTCAGGGCTTCACACTCGCTAGGCAGGCGCTCTGTTACTTGAGCCACTTGCCAGCCCAGAACTTTATGTATTTTTAAGCACAATTTGATCTCTCTTGCCCCAGTTTTTAATATATGACAGCTCCAGGGCATTTGTTTTTCACTGTCAGCTGTCAGTGACCTTCATAAGGGAGGAGAGAGCCTAGGACCAGGGAGCTTCACTCCATAGAGCATTGCAACCCTAGGCCTGACCCTTTGACACAAGAACCCACTGTCTGCAGGCTGGGCAGCTTCTGCTGGCTTCAGCAGTGACCACACAGAGGTGCTGGTGCCTCTCAACTGGAGGCAGCAGCAAGTTCAGACATTAGTGGCAATTTCACTCATTCTTTTCGGCCCCATATAGTGGGGTTACTTCCCACTCATCATGGTCTCTCCCAGAGCCCAGTCTGCAGGCAACCAAGAATTAGACTCACTGAATCCCTGTGAAACAAACAGCCTTGGCATCCCCCAGCCCAATCGCAAGTGTCTGACAACAGAAAAATCTGACCACTCAGCCTTTCCCCTCCCCGATCCCTCCCTACTCCCAAATCTTGCCCGGGCTCTGTCCACCCTGCATGATTCCTCTGTCCTCCATGCCTATGAGGAAGAGGCTCTGGTTCTTGGATGTGAGGGAATTTTGCGTGGCAGGAAGGCTGGCTTCCTTCAACTGAACTCAGCCTGGTCATGCAGACATCCCCAGACTTGCAGCTTCACTGCCTTCCTCCAAAGTGGGGAGGTGACAGCCAGGGTCTCAGTGCAAAGACATCTCATACCCCAAATGGCATTCATGGTGTGGTCCCTGAAGTGAGACTAACAATAGCCATGCAACTCACTCTCTTGGCATATCAGACTGTCTTCAAGCCTCCTTGCAGCTCCAGGGATCAGCTGTTAACTACTTCTTCTTGGGATTTTTTTTGGGGGGCGGGGGAGAGTGGGATTTAAACTCAGGGCTTTGTGCTTGCAAAGCAGGTGCTGTACCATTAGAGCCACGCCTCCAGTCCATTTTGCTCTGGTTATTTTGGGGATGTGGGTCTCTCAAACTATTTGCCCAAGCTGGCCTTGTACCTCCATCCTTCTGATCTCAGCCTCCCAAATAGCTAGGATTACAGGCGTGAGCCACCAGCACCCCACCTTCTTTGTTTTGTTTTGAGACAGGCTGTCGGTATGTAGCCCAGGTAGACCTTGAACTCAGGATCTTTCTTCTTCAACCTCCTAAGTGCTGGGATTACAGACATGTACCACTATGCCCAGCTTTTAGCCTTCTCTTATGCTGAGCCCTACTCTACCTCTACCCTCCCAGAGCGCAGGGTACTTTCTTGTCCACCATGACTTTCTGAATGTGATGTGTGAAGCACTGAAGATGAAAATGCCACCCAGGAGGAGAGAGAAGGGGCGCGGCAGGGATTAAACAGCTAGTTGCCCATAAGTTGGAATTGTAGTTATACCCCATCACTGCTCTGAGGGGACCCTACTTTCCAAATAAAAATAAACTTAATTCTCCGAAGGCTGGGATCCCTTGCTCACACAGGTAGCCAATGGTGCTGAAGTGGCCTCAGACTCTTTTAGTTCCTTCTGACTCCGTCTAAAGTCAATGAACAGAGGGCAGCGGCAGCTCACACCTGTAATTCCACCTACTGGGGAGGTGGAGCGCGGGAGGGCAGCAGTTCCAGGCCAGCCTCTGCAAAAAGTTAGGGAGACCTCATCTCAACCAATAAGCTGGGTGTGATGTTAAACGCCTATCATTCCAGCTTTATAGGCAGCGTAAATAGGAGGATCCAGGTCCATGTCTGCTTGGACAAAACAGTGGCAGATCCTATCTACAAAATAAAGCAAAAAGGGCTCGGGGTGTAGCTCAAATGGTAGAGCGGCCAGGTGCCAGGCCCTGAGTTCAAATTGCATAGCACAAAAAAAAAAAAAAAACCCAGTGGACATGGGTGAAAACTGGGCTGCATATATACGCATGCGTATGAAAAGCAACAGTGCGTACGCGCCAGGCTATGAATTGCTACATTACTACGCATTTGGTAATTAATTAGGTGAAGGATGGAGACCACTCGGGTTCATGAATGAACCTCTCTGACCCGTCGCAGAACCACTAAATGGGTTCTTAGGATTCCACGCTTCACATCTGCTCGTGGGATCCATTCCCGGTGTCCCAGGCACTGGGCGTGGAGGGCACGGGAGAGGTTACACAATGGACCCTGGGAGACCGAGGTCAAGATGCAGAAAAGGCTGAAAAGTCCTGGTGTCCGACCGCCGGGTGGCCTGAGCTCTTCCTGGAGCTGGCCCCGTAGCGCTCTCCGCGGGGTCCTGGAGGCTCCGCACCGCCCACCCTGCGCGGGTCCACTTGCAAGGCAGGCGCTCCTGGAGCCGACGCTGTGTGGCCAGGTTCACGGTTCCCGAGGATCCCCGAGGATCCTCTCCCACCTTGACCTTTCCCCTCCAGAGCGCGCCTGTCCTGGCCACCCGAGCATCCCCAGCGCGGAGCCCCCGGTTCAGCACACAAACTGAGAAAATGAAAACTTCAGAATAAAATATCAAATACCTAGACAGGCCCATAACTGTATTTAGTTTTTCCTAACTCACTTCGCCAAATTGAAATTACCAACTGGATAGAGTAATTGATTTGCTTCCCCCATCCCCTTTCAAAAGAGAGCATTTGGTATTTTAAGCAGGAGCTAATGATACCAACACGAGGGCTAATTGGTCAGCTTCACCGGACTTGACCTTGTAAAGCCCCAAGTGCTTTTCTCTCTGCTGCAAGACGGTTCTCACCTCCCAGCCCTGCAGCGCTGGGACCTAGTGATGGGCGTGAGCCTACTGCCTCCCGCCCCCCTGAGGGTCCTCCCTGCCACCCCCAGGGACTCCTGTTGAGGGAGGATCCCCCGGAAGTCCCTTGCTCAAGGTCAAAGCATGCATTAGGAAGGAGACCCCACACACACACACACACGCCCCGATTCCCCCAGTTTATGCCAAGACCGTCTGGGACAATTTATTTCTCATCTGGGATACATTTCTTCTTTTAAATTGTCATTTTTCAGAAAGTTAACATTTTCCTTTGGATGTTTTGACCATGACTTTGTGAACTGAAAGCCACTTTTTTTTCTCCTAAATTTCTAAGAGCTATGGACTGCGGGAAGATGGCGCACTTCTCTTCCAGGTATGAGTTAGTCTTGAACTTGGAACTTTTTGTTGCTAGAGATTGCCAGTTTAGAAAATTATGTTCTATACCTCTCTGGTTTTATCTTGCTTAAACCTTAAAAGACCCGAGGTTTTCCTTGAAAAAATCTGGAATTTAGCACTCCTAGTTAGACCCTATTTTGCTTTTGACTTTTAACCTTTTCAATTGCGTTGACCACCTAAGGAAGGGCTTTCCTTCCTCTTGTGTAAACAAGAGACTCAAAACTAAATGAAAAATCTGCCTCTGAAAAAGGTGGAAGGTATAGACAGATTCAATATTTAAAAAACCATTGAATAATGGACAAAAAAAACCTGCCTTTAACCTGAAAACTTCTAAATGGCAAGTTTAGTTAAAATACTTTATAAAATGTGATTTGTTCAATAACAGAGAATGCCATGCAGCTATATCTACATTCTTTTATGAAAACTCTGGGAAAAATGATCCTAAAAATTAGCTCAGTTCTTGCATCTGCCAGGAGAATTTAAGCATGAGGCAAAGATTTAGTAAAAGTAGCAGTAAAGTTTATTAGGAGAAGAACATGGAGGGAAAGAGAGAGAGAGAAGCATTTCTGTTCCCCACGCAGGAACTGGGAGCAAAGACTCAAAATGGTGGTTCCCAACTCCAAGTTTTTTACTGGAGAGCTGGGGAAATACACATGGTCAAAGGTAATGGGTCTGGGTGGCTGACATGGCTGACAAAAAGGGAGGGGGTTAATCTCCCAAATTACACCCAGTGACACCCACATCCCACCCAAGTCACAGAGACACTTTAGAACTTCCCTTTCATTCCTCTCCACCCATCCAAGGATCCTGGTGGCTTAACATCTCAAAGAGGAAAACAGAAGCAGGTAGCTCCTCTTTGTCTCCCTATTCCTGTAACTTTAGCATCTAAAAATGGGAGGCGGCCAGCTGTATTGGCTCTCCTTGTTCCAGTGTCCTTTAAATATTTATTTAAATAAAACGATTTCCCAGTCTCCTCTTATGGCCACGACTTATGTCTTAGCCGCTACCTATCACTATGCAGAAGAAGAAGATGTAGGTTATGTGGAATAAAAGATGAATGATTTATACCTACTTAAAATTTGTGCTTGCGATAGGACCTAGGAAATAATGATACATAATGAAAGAAGTTGGATGTTGGTGAGGCGTTTTCAACATTTTCTTTGTTACCTGAGTCAGCCACTAGAAAGAAAGAGAGAGGAAGGAGAGAGAGAACAAGAAAGAAAGAGAGAAAAGCAGTGCTTTGCAACTTCTCCTTAACAGCCTTGTCCTTGTGAGAAGACCCAAGTGTGGACTCCATGGGTTTTATTTGCTTTGTTTTGCTAACAGATGTCCGGTTTCCTTTTCCTAGTGTGATTTTGCTCATGGCCATTTCCAACGCATTTGAACTGGGATTAGTTGCTGGTGAGAGAATTTTGTTCTTTTGATCACATTAAAAAACTTTTTTTCTCGTGGTGCTGGGATGGAATCCAAGGCCTCATGCCAGCTAAACAAGTGCTCTACCACTGAGCTACAACCCCCGCCCAGCCCTCACTTTTTTGTGCTTTTGAACACTAACAATTTTATTTATTTTATTTTACTTTTTTTTGTGGCAGAACTGAGGTTTGAACTCGGGGCCTCATGCTTGCTAGGCTCTACTACTTGAGCTACTCTGACAGCCCTTTTTGGTTAGATTTTTTCAAGTCAGGCTCTTGCAAATGAGTTGCCTGGGGCTGGCTTCGCACCTCAATCCTCCTGATCTCTGCCTCCCGAGTAGCTAGGATTACAAGTGTGAACCAATGGCATCTGGCTGAACACTAACGATTTTTCTGTGGCCTGACATACAGACTTAAGGCTTTGATTTTTGTCATTAAGGATTGGGCCAACATGAACTTGCACGTCCATCTTTGGGAGACCTCACCTTCAGAGATGACAGCATTCAGTCCCAGGAGCCTGCAATTCATTCTCGGTCTTTCCAGTTTGTGCCGTTCACGGGGATACAGGACAGTAAGACCTACCTGCCTTAGATCATCTCTGGCCTGCTCTCCACTGTCGCCTATGTATCTTCTAACACTTTCACCTAACAGGGCGGGTGCATGATTCCGGAATTGGGCTGGTGGTTGGACTGCTTTGAGTTAATGGAGGTTAGACAGGTACTGCGTTTTTGCCTCTCTGGAAAGATTTCCTTCACCTGATTCCATTCCATGTGAGGGGCCCAGGAACCATCACTGGCCTGTGCATGAAAATAATTTCCTTGCTGAAAGTTACAGGTAGCTAAAAAGCAGAGACCTGGTTTATAAATTCTGAGTCATCTGCAAAAATCCAGAGAGAGGAACTGGATGCTGTGATGTTTGTTTACAGGAATTGCCTTGGGATTTTTTCATTTCCTCCCCCTTCCTAGCTGTCTCCTCTTACATTTCAGGTAAGAAGCTAAACAAGACCTGCTGTCTGAATGGGGGGACCTGCGTCCTGGGTTCCTTCTGTGCCTGCCCCCCCTCCTTCTATGGACGGAACTGTGAGCATGATGTGCGCCACCGAGAGTAAGCCATTGAAGGGGGCGACGAGGGGAGGGGGAGCGTGGAGAGGAGCAGGAAGGAGAACGGGAATTTAAACTGTGTATTCCCGGTTATTCTTAGGCACTGTGGGTCTGTGCCACACGGAGCCTGGCTGCCCAAGAAGTGTTCCCTGTGTCGGTGCTGGCATGGCCAGCTCCACTGCTTTCCCCAGACGTTTCTACATGGCTGTGGTAAGTGGGACTTCCTCTTCCTTTCACCCTCTTAGGCCCCTCAGTCACCTGCTTATTAGCAGGGTCGCCCCTCCCACCCCCTGCCCTGCCAGAGCCTGGCAGTCAGAGTCCAGTACTGGAGCTCCCTCAGACATCTACAGTCTTGCTACCAGATGCAGAGTTCAATGTCAAGTCTACTTGACACTGATCTTCTGTACACATCTACTGAGGACAGTGAACAGGAAAAGATCTGGTGTCTAAAATACTAATAGTGCTCTCTTGTGTCCTTTCCTTTGGGCAGGGGACCCCAACAATTGTCAGGATGGGCCATTCAGTTAGAATCCACTCTGACAACAAATTCCACCAGTGTCTTTGATCTGCTCTTGTTTCTGGGAAACTTCTTCCTGGGTCCTAACAGGCCCCTGGTGATCTATCTAAGCACCCCTTCCCCTTACTCATTTTTACTTATTTGGAAGAGAAGAACAGACCAGGATGAGTTTTAAACCCACCTGTACTGAGTTTTTAGGACCATCCAAGTTCAGAGAACGTTCATAGTTTTGACCTGTAGATATCAGGAATTGAATATATTCAAGTACAGAAAGTTAATGAACCAAGATGTGACTCCACAGCCCACCAGGACAGGGACTGTGCCTTTGCCATTCATATCCTTGGTGTCAAGCCTGGTATAGGTATTTGGCAAGTGTGAGCGGAATGAATGGGGACCACAGTGAAGGTTTTTCAGGAGAATGTGAGTTTCATGTCCTCAGTCAGTAGGCTTCAACTGATTTTTAGATGATGCCATAGGCTAAACTGCCAGAGGGATTTCCTTTAATAACCAGTTGTCTCTACCTTCCAGGGGGTGGTGTGATGGATGGGTCCCTCGAGGCTTCCAGGACACCAGACTTAGCGCCGTCAGCATGGACCACTCTCATGCTAGCTGCCATCTGTCTTTCCATACAAAGTTGCTATTAATAGACATTTGCCTTTTTAATGGAAATGCAAGTTTAAAGGTTCTGCAGATTTCATGACCAGTAAAGGGCTGCTCCAGTGTCCTCTGACTAAAAGATGATTATCTGTCAGTTACCTTAACACAATCAATACATTTCTTTATTTCTCTCAAGAGGTTTATTTTCCACATACATTACACATGTGTATATAAATACCACAATGAGACCTGTTTGTGCAATTAATTTATGCTAATAAAATTTTTTATACGTGAACTGTGGTTATTTCTCGGTGGTGAAATGAATTATACATTGTGGTGAGTTTTTTCCCTTTGTGCATTTCTGTATTTTCTAAATTTTCCATAGAGGGAACGCACTGTATCTGTTGTCACATGGGATGTGACAACCATATCCTGCTTTCAACTGAGGGAGTCTGGGAGAACCAGGAGCTCCAGGCTGTGTGTGGTTTTCTTTCCTACTTTGTGCACTCTGTTGTATGTGGGGGGCGGGGGGATTTGATCCTATCACTTAGGAACTGTTCAATCCACAAATTGTGTTTTTCCAAATTCTCTGCAAAATTCCAAGTGGCTAGAGTTTTTTGTTCTGTTTTGTTTGCAATGCTCAATGGAAAGCAAGTCAAATGGGATAATCAGGAAACAGGCACAACAGAAAGTGCATGGCTACATCACACTGCTGGTACGGTTAAGTGAAATAAAGCATTTGTACATTAGGTTCTCAACAAATGCCACATTTCTACCTGTCGAAGAGTGCTTAAAAATATTTTTGGCTCATAATGGAAAATGTTTTTTGTAGAAAAACAATTTAGAAGTACTGGAAGCCAGACATAGTGGTGCACACTCTGTAATCCCAGCACTGGGGAGGCTGGGGCAGAAGGATCCCAAGTTTGAGAGGCCAAACTGGGCTGAATAGTAAGATCCTGTTCCAAAAAAGAAAGGAAGGAAAAGGCCTCTTTTTATTTGCATGGAAATAACCCATTGCCATGTGGTAGGTGAAGATGAGACTGTGTCTTGGTTCACATCTGTATGTAATTCTTTCTTTTACATAACACATTTTTTATGTAGCCCAGGCTAGCCTGGAACTCGGAATCCTCCTGTGTCAGCCAACACACCCCACCTTTTATTGATTAAGATAGGGTCTGACTGTTTACCCAGGCTGGTCTGGAACTGGGATCCTCCCTATCTCCTCCTGAGCAGCTAGAATTAAAGGCCATTAGAGCCTGGCCTTTTCCACTATTTTTTTGTTCTCATAGATATATGTTTGGGGAACCACAGACCACAAACTATTTACTATTTACTATTACTACAGAAAGCTAATTTGCCAATGCAAGACCTGGAGAAATCTTTCACCATCTTTGTGAAGAATAACAGAAGATTGGTTTGACACAGGGCATCACTGATCAGTTACACGGATCTGTAAAAATGGTGACTGGCTGAGATTAGTCACCTACTGAGAAATGAAAATGGTGTGTACACCGCTTTCACACCTCCCACTCTCTGTGCACCAGTTTCCCCAGGGCCGCTAATGCAGTTCCATTTTCATTACTGATTTATTGCAGTTGATTCGTTACAATTAGCTTATTACTAATGCTTTAAACCTGTTCTGATGGATTAATTATCAATATTAAGTCAACACTGATGATTTAAATCAGAAAAGAAACTCAGCCTTAAAACACTTTATTGGCCTTTTATAACGTCACTTCAAGTGAAAAGGGAGTTTTATGGGTTTGTTCAAATACTCTTAGAAGACCCTTCCTTATCCACATAGTCTAGTGGTGACAAGCTTAGGGATAAGGCCAAGCACAGTGGATCACACTTGTAAGCCCAGCTGCTCAGGAGACAGATTTCCAGCTCAGTCTGGCAGAAAAAAAAAAAAAAAAAGTTAGCAAGACCCCATCTCCACCAATAAACTGGTCATGGTGGCATGCACCTGTGATCCCAATTACACAGGAGGCATAAGTAGGTTTGCTGAAGCCAGCCTGAGCAAAAACATGAGACCCTATTCAAAAAATAACTAAAGGGCTGGTGGAGTGGCTCAAGCAGTAAGAGTGCTAGCCTAGCAAGCATGAGGCCCTGAGTTCAAACCCCAGCATCACTAAAATAAATAAATAAAGAGCTTGGGTACAGCTTCTATGTTTCTGCTATGTGGCCTTGGGCAAATGATTTACCTTTTCTGTGCCTTTGAGGGCTGATGTGAGGACTAGATATAAATTATTTCATTTCAAGATGAATGATGCCTCACCTATCACTCATGCCCTCTTAAGTGACTTTTAGACATAAGGAAGCTGTGGACTCTTTTCAGGAAGAAACACACATATGGCCGTGCACACTAAGGCATGTGTGAATTCTCAGGACTCCTTGACACCATTCATGGCCCATGGATCTCAGGTAAAGAGCCTTCTCTTTTTTTTCTCAAAAAAAATTTTTTTATCATTTTTACATTTACCCACATGTGTATACATTGTTTGGGCCATCTCCCCCTTCCTGTCCCCCTACTCCCCCTATTCTGCCCTCTTCTTTTCCAATTTTGTTGAACAGAAAACATGAGATAATATGAAAGACATAGCGTTTTTGCTAGTTTGAGATAAAGATAGCTATAGAGAGATTCCTAGCATTGCTTTCATGCACTTCTGTATTACAACCCACCTTGGTTCATCTCTACCAGACCTCTTCACTACTTCCCGGTCCCCTTTCCATAGCAGCCTCTGCCAGTTTAAGATTACTATATTCGCTCTTATACAGTGAGCACATCAACTGCATTCAAGTTTTAGATTTCCTTCCCTTTCCCTATTCCTCCCATGCGTGTTCTCCCCTTAGTGTGTGACCCATGTCCAATAATATTACTGCATTTGTTTTGGGTCTATAATCCGCATATGAGGGAGAACATATGATTTTTGGCCTTCTGAGCCTGGCTAACTTCACGTCAAGATGATGTTCTCCAGTTCCATCAATCTACCTGCGAATGACAAAATTTCACTCTTCTTTGTGGCTGAGTAAAATTCCATTGTGTATAGATACCACATTTTCTTAATCCATTCATCAGTAGTGGGGCAGCTTGGCTGTTTCCATAACTTGGCTATTGTGAACAGTGCTGCAATAAACATGGGTGTGCAGGTGCCTCTGTAGTAACCTGAGTCACATTCCTTTGGGTATATCCCTAGGAGTGGGATTGCTGGGTCAAATGCAGATCTATGTTTAGTTTTTTAAGAAGTCTCCATATTGTTTTCTAAAGTGGTTGTACTAGCTTGCATTCCCACCAGCAGTGGATGAGGGTTCCTTTTTCCTCACATCCTAGTTAGTGATGAAGAACCTTCTCTGAACCCAGTGTGTGCTGAAACCAGAGATGATATTAAAACCCTTCATCTAACAAAATGAATAAAAGAAGATTTTAGAAAGACAAGGGCCAGGCAGGGCCCATCTTAGCTCTGGACTCTCCCAGTCCACCATGCTGCCCTCTGGTAACAGCAGCAGGCCTCTGGGATTACGCATTGGGAAGGCTGCTGGTTCCTGGAGGAGCCTGGAAAGTGGGGTCTTGAGGGAGAAGGGCAGGGGCCTCAAATTCAACAGCTGGCAGTCCCCTATGTCCCTTGCCAGGACCTGTGGTCACACGCAGAGATCACTGCTTGCACTTCTGATGCAGGGTATTAGCCAGGCCATGAGCTGCACAAACTTTGGTGGCAGAAAAGAGAGAAACTCCCACTCCATGTCCCCTCAGTCTGACCCCTTCTCCATAAAGCCAGCCTCAGGATGGCCAGAGGGCTGCTCTGGGGGCAACTCTGCCCTTCCAGAACTAGCTCCCTTGGAACTCAAGGACGTGCCTGGGCCCGTGTGACTTGTCTCAGTGGCCTCATTTGGAGTGTCTGGAAAGACCCCAAAAATCCTTTGCCCAAAATAATCTTCCTGAAAGTACTGCCAGAGACTCTTCCCCTGTTCTCATTTTGCTTCAAGGAATGATCTGGAAGGTGCCAGCAAAAATGCTGGTGTAATCCCAGCAGCCCATGAGCTGTGTCCACCTCTTCAGCCAAGCAGGGGCTGCTTATCCAAGGTAACAGAATACAGATCACATTTACAGAGGGCTTGAAAAAGGTCAGGCCAAGAGAGACACAAGCCGTGTCAATTTTGTAGCTTTTGTCCTCTGCCATGGCTGATTTTCAATGAGGTCCTTGAAGATAAATCACCAGGGACAGGGACATCCAGTCCTCTACAGCATACGGTGGTCCAGTCTTCTAGTATCCCTCGGGGACACTGCAGCCTCAGAGGCAGACAGCTTCTTCCAGAAGCCCACGGTCCTGGCACTGTGTCTATGGGCTCTGTGGTAGGCAGGGGAAGCAAGTGTGCAGGTCAGCCCACTGCCCAAGGTCCTCTGTTGAATCCTGCCCTGTCTCTGGCAGGCAGCCCAGCTTTCCCAGGCCTGCCCCACTCAGACTCTTTCTCCTCCTCTCCAATTGCTCTTCCCATAGTAGGACCACCACTGTTTGAGGGACTCCCCATGCTTGTCTTATGTCTTCTGTTATATTTATTGTACTTTATGGGCCAGGCATGGTGGTACACAGCTATAATCCCAGATACTAGGAGGCAGCGATAGGAGGAGCACAGTCAGAGGCTGGCAGGGCAAAAATGTGAGACTGTTATCTAAAAAAAATAAACTAAACTCAAAAGGAATACAGGTGTGGTTCAAGTGACAGGGCACTTGCTTTGAGACCCTGAGTTTAATCCCCAGTACTAACCCCCTCCCAAAAAAACCCCAATATATTTGTAGTATTTCTTACCATTTTTCCTTGTCCTCCTTTATAACTCATTAAATTTGATGACATAACGGAAAATCACTTTGTCAACTAAAAAGTGTCTATAAGATTGATAGTTCACTTTTTATCACGGCAGGATCACAAGTGTAACTCAGGACTCTTGACCTTGCCATTGGTCTAGAGTAGCCTGGAAGTCAGGAATCAGACTGAGAAACAACTCAGGAAGACAGAAGACCTCACTCAGCTGTCTCCTGTTTAAGAATCCT